TACAACTGCTAATTTTAGTGTTTTATGGAATGGTGAAATGACTGATGACTTCCATCCCACTAGGGGAATTAGACAAGAATACCCGTTATCTCCTTATCTCTTTGTCATGGGCATGGAAAAGCTTAGCCATATAATTAAAATAGCAGTTGATGGGGTATGTGGAAGCCGATTAAAGTTGGAAATGGAGGGCCAGAGATTTCTCATTTGATGTTTGCGGATGATCTAATGTTGTTTGTTGAAGCTAGCTCACATCAAATACAAACTGTTTTGAAATGTCTAGATTTATTTGGTGAGATCTCAGGTCAGAAAATTAGCATTGAGAAAACAAGTATTTTCTTCTCCAAAAACACTCTGGATGTTGCAGCAGAGGAAATCTCCAGAATTTGTGGGTTTAAAAGGGTTAGAAATGTAGGTAAGCATCTTGGTGTGTGGATGAAGCATGGGAGGGTCACTAAGGAGGTTTATGCTAGCATTGTGGAAAAAGCTCAATCCAAGATGAATAGTTGGCAGGCTAAGTGTCTCTCTCAAGCTGGGAGAATTACTCTCACTCAGTCTACACTGGCTTCAATGCCTTTTTTCAAATGCAATGTGATAAGATTCCTGTTGCAGTATATTATGAGCTTCAAAAAATTCAGAGAAGATTTATTTGGGGGGATACAGAGGATAAAAAGAGGATGCATTTTGTTGGTTGGGAAACTCTTACAAAGCCAAAAGAGAGTGGTGGGCTGGGATTAAAAAAGCTTAATTTAATGAATGAGGCCTTTGTTGGAAAAATTGCCTGGGCTATTTTTAGCCAATATGATGAACTCTGGATTCAGGTTTTGTATGCTAAATATAGAGGTCAGAGAATGGGAACATATATTTTTAAAAGCAGGGTTAGTGATTCAAGGCTGTGGAAATTCATTTGTTTGGTGTGGAATAAATTAGAGAAGCATTTGATTTGGGAAATTGGTGATGGTAATAATATTCTTTTTTGGAAGGATAATTGGGTTAAAAATGCAGGTATGTTGATGGATAAAGCCTTAAGTCCGATTCCTTGGGATGAAGTGTGTATGAAGGTGGCTGATTATATAGACAATAATGGAGTCTAAACAAGCTTTCAAGGTGGCTCCCAAATGATGTTCTGCTTAACATCCGAGGTATGCTCCCCCCGAATCTTCATGATGGGATGGACCACTTGCTTTGGAATTTAAAAGGTGATACCAAAGTTTCTGTTAAGGGTATTTATGCCACTTTATCTGGTGCGGTTGAGCAGCAGGATTTGGCCCCTATTTTGAAGAAAATTTGGAATTGGAAGGGACCTCAGGTTATTAGGCTATTTATTTGGAAAATGCTTCACAATAAAATTCCTACAAAAAATTTCCTTAGCCAGTTTAATATGGGTTCAGCTTCTTGCCTAATTTGTTGGGAGCATAATGAAACTTGTATTCACTTATTGAGAGATTGTAATGATATGAAGAATTTGTGGTCTGATTTGGTACCAATAGATATGTAGGTTTCTTTCTTTTCTGCCAATTTATGGGATTGGATAGAACTAAAACTGTCACATATTAGTTTTTTCATGGATAATATCCCTTGGTGTACATGGTTTGCTACGGCTTGCTGGCTTGCATGGAAGTGGAGGAATGAAAGGAGTCATGACAATCCAAATCAGGTTCATGATTATCAATACAAGATTCAGTCAGTGATAGTCAAGGTGAGAGATATACAAGATGCTTTTCATAAGGTTAATTTAGCTCAAAATAACCTGTCCCATTCGGATACTTTGATTTGTTGGAAGGCTCCGGGAAGCAATTGGGTAAAGATTAATACGAATGGAGCGGTTAAGGGTAATCAAAGATTAGCAGCTTGTGGTGGTGTTATTAGAAATGATGCTGGTCAATGATTAAAAGGATTTGCTTATAGAATTGGTAGTTGTGATGCTCTTACTGCAGAATTCTAGGGTATTTTAAAGGGTTTGCAACTAGCTTGGGAAGATGGATGGAGAAATATTATTGTAGAAAGTGACTCTAAATCAGCTATTGCTCTGCTCACTAGTGATGGTGATGCAGTCCGCGAGAATCATCTGATTTCTCGATTACGGACATGGATTCAAAAGAATTGGAGAGTTCATCTGGTTCATACTTTCAGAGAAGGAAACTGTTGTGCGGATTGACTGGCAAATTTTCCTTTTATGAATGTCAATTCTGATGATTTTTGTGTTTTTAATTCCCCTCCCCTTGGAATTGGTTTGCTGTTTGATGCAGATTTAGCTTCTATTTGTAGAACTCGTCGTATTTCAGTTATTTAATTTGAGCTGTGGTGTGTTTTACCCAGATTACCAAAAAAAAAAGAATAGTAGTCTACATTTTATCAGTATCAGGAACAAGAGTAATGGGTGTGCTGTTATTGGGCATTAAATTATAAAAATATTGGTTAATGAAATTATACAAGTAATTTATACTAATAGAAATATTTAAAACTAAATTATATAAAATAAAATTGAAAACCCGACTCTACGAACCCGAGGAAAGGCGCATATCTCTGTTCTCTGTGATGAATTAGAAATGAGTAAATACATTGCTCACTAAATTTCACGATATCCGTTTTAGTCCTAGTAAATAAAAAGGTTATTTGTGGTCTAAGAAATTCAAAATGGACCCATTTAGTTGAAATCGTGATCCCTCACAAATTCAAAAAAGATCCATATTAATCCTTCAAAAAAACTAAAATGGGTTCACTTTGAATTTTTTAAGAATCACAAAAAATCTTTTTATTTGATAGAAACTAAAGCGGACATCATAAAATTTTGCCGAGGACCGAAAAAGATATTTAATCGTTATAAATTTAGAACTACTTGCTTCCCCGGACCATTTGAAAGATCTTAATAGGAGTTTGGAAATATCATATGTACCGTGTAGGGCTGTGCATGGGTCAGGTCGGGTCAGATTTTTGTCCGACTTGACCCAACTTGGTTTTTATAGGTCAGATATTTTGACCCGTCCCGCTTTAATTTGATCCAAGTCAGGTCTGACTTGGATTGGATTTTGTTGAACTAGTTCAGAACCAGTTTGGATCTGACCTGACTTGGTTTCTGAAGTGGGTCTGACTTGGTTTCTGAACTGGGTCAAATCTGACCTGACCCGTTTTTGACTTGGTTTTCTCACAAAATTTTGTCGAAATTATTACGTTGCAAAAGACGAAAATTTCGTCACAAAATTATTTTTTCGTCGAAATTTTTACAAAAAAAAAAAATTTCTAATGAAATTTAGTTTCCGTCAACAGTTTTGACGAAAATGATTTCTTCCATCAAATATTTTAAACGAAAAAAGAATTTTGTCAAAAAATTTAACGGAATGTTTTTCGTTCAAAATTTCGATGGGAATGTGTTCTAACGAAAAGTTTGACGAAAATTATTTCGAGGGAAATGTTTCATTTGAAACTTTCGACGAAATTTAGATTATCTAAAGAATTTTGACAGAATATTTTTTTCGTCAAAATGTTTTTTTTGTCAAAAAAATTTACGAAATTTTTTATCAAAAAACTTGACGAAAATATTTAGTTGAAAATTTTCGATGGAAATGTGTTTCGCTAAAAATTTCGACGAAAATTTTTTTTTGTCAAAAAATTTAACGAAAATTTTTTCGTCGAAAACTTTCGCCGAAATTTGAAATCTGTAAAGAATTTTGATGAATATTTTTGCCATCGAAATTTTTTGCCGTCAAAATTTTTTGATGACGAAAATGTTTTCGTCGAAAACTTTCCCCAAAATTAGAAATCTGTAAAGAATTTTGATGAAATTTTTTGCCGTCAAATGTTTTTGATGACGAAAATATTTCTGTCGAAAACTTTCGCCGAAATTTGAAATCTGTAAAGAATTTTGATGAAATTTTTTGCCGTCGATATTTTTTGCCGTTAAAATTTTTTGATGACGAAAATGTTTCCGTCGAAAACTTTCGCCAAAATTTGAAATCTGTAAAGAATTTTGATGAAATTTTTTGCCGTCAAAATTTTTTGATGACGAAATTATTTCCGTCGAAAACTTTCGCCAAAATTTGAAATCTGTAAAGAATTTTGATGAGATTTTTTGCCGTCAATATTTTTTGCCGTCAAAATTTTTTGATGACGAAAATGTTTCCGTCGAAAACTTTCGCCAAAATTTGAAATCTGTAAAGAATTTTGATGAAATTTTTTGCCGTCAAAATTTTTTGATGACGAAAATATTTCCGTTGAAAACTTTCGCAAAAATTTGAAATCTGTAAAATTTTTATGAAAATATTTTCCATAAAAAATTTTGACGTAATTGTTTTACTTTAAAACTTTTCTTTTAATGTAATTGTGATTTTTTTTTAACATAATGGGTATGGGTCAAGTTTTGGGTCAGTGAGTCAATATTAAAACGAGTCAGGTCTAAAACTGACCCAAATAAAAGTGAGTCAGTATTTAAACCAATTCAAAAAATATGGGTATTTGTGGGTCAGGTCAAGGTCGAATCAAGGGCAGGGCAACATTCTCTTATTTGTCAATAATCAGCTTGATCAACATTGGTTTATTTGGTGGTGCCTTTCTTCATTAACATAAATTTGCACCTTTTTCGTTGACCTAATTCTTTGGTCTATTTTTCTTTACAAAATGATATAGATTACTTTTAACATATCTTTTTCTAAATTGAAATTCAATTTTTTTAAACAAATAATAATTTTTTTATTTTATTAAATTAGTTATAACTTTTTTAAAATAAATTTAAAATATATTCCTGGAAAACCAAAAAAATAAAAATAAAAATAAAAAGTTAGAACTAATAATAAAATTATAACAAAACACGTACACATCAAAATCCTTATAACAGAATCCCCCCAGAAATGGTTCCATAGCAATAGCATACGAAAGGTAAACTAATAATTTCCTGGACTATCCACAATCTGACACGTGATATTTAATCACTTGATGTCATAGTTATCCAAAACCCGAACTATATCCAAACATCATAACACCAAATTTATAAAGCAAAATTCAGCATTTTACAATAATATATCCACTGGTTGTAAGTCTCACTCCTTTTATCCTTGCTAGCTTCTTTGTTTCGATTGAAATCGCTGAACAAGTTTCAATCTTTTACAGTTACACTCTTTACCACCTTCACCGTTTGCTATGTCGCATTGTTTTTTAGGTTTAAGTTTGCACCTTTTTCTTCTGTTGGTAGCGAATTTGTTACCTCTGATCTATATTTATAAGTTGTTTATGCTATTTAGCATCGTGGGTATTCTCTAAATTTCTAGTATAATCATGTTGTTTTGTGGCTTCACGTGTGATGTTTTGTAATGTTCTGTGTGCTCATAAAATGTCTGTGCGGGTTAATTACTGATCGGTTTTGTTACTCCCAATTGCGCAGGTAATTACATAAATCCATGAAAATGAAAGCTGGGAAAATATTGCTGCTGCTTCTTTGTTTGATAGTCTTCTGTTATGCGGTGGTACTAATACAGTTCTCTAAATATATGTAAAAAAAATTCACTTTATGGGACTGTGGTTCATGAAATGAGATAATATTTGATTTTGTTTGATGTCAAGCAGATTGCTGCTCCTCAGACTTGTCCTGCTAATGATGTTGATAAATGCGACGATGGATGGGAAGGGGAGTTTTTTCCTGGCATTTCCAAAATTAAATATGAGGTAGATTTGTTTATGACAGTTTCTTCTGACCCATTAGTCCTTATCGTATACAAGGATTATATTGATATATCTTCTGTGCAAAATTAAATTTTATTTAATTTCTTCCCCTTCTCAATGTCACCGAGGCTGTGTTTAGAGTTTGGAGGAGAAAAGGGAAGGAATCAAGGGATTAAAAAGAAATGAAGGGGAAGGGAAGGGAGGAGAATGAAGGTTTATTTGATTATTAACTTCCCCCTTGTTTAAATGTTTAAAATCCTCGTAAGTCTCTCTAAATTTTGGGAACTTTAAAATTGTAAATGAAAATTATTCGGGGAAGGTTTTTGGATTACATGATAATCCCTTATTTTTCCTTCACTCAAAATAAATATTAGCTGATCTTCTGGAAAAAGGAGAAGAAAGAGGGGGAGAAAGAGGTTGATTTTCCTCAACTGAACTAGTTTTCATATTTCATTTTGGAGCAAGATCTTAACATAAAAAATATTTTTTGAGAAATATTATTGAGTATCTTTATGTTACTTTTGTTCCATAATGTATTGTGTATACATTTATTAGTGCATATATATAATTTTCAGGGCCCGTCCAGTAAGAATCCACTTTCATTTAAATGGTATAATGCAGAGGAGGAAATTCTTGGGAAGAAAATGAAGGTTGGTTTTCATTTATATTACACTAAGTTATCAGTTTTATCTATACTTTATCATTCACCAACATCTATTGGCTTTTGACTTGAATTTATTCTATATAACTGCAGGATTGGTTCAGATTTAGTGTTGCATTTTGGCATACATTCCGAGGAACAGGTGGTGACCCATTCGGTGCACCAACCAAACATTGGCCGTGGGAAGATGGTACCAATTCATTAAACATGGCTAAAAGAAGAAGTACGTTAATTCTTGACTCTCCAATTTGAGATACGTCATATTCTGAGATTTATATGCCACAAGATAAAATTCTCTTAATTAATACAGTGAGAGCAAACTTTGAGTTCATTAACAAACTCGGTGTCGATTTTTGGTGCTTCCACGACAGGGATATAGCCCCTGATGGGCAAACTCTGGAGGTGAGTTAATCTTTAAAGTTTCTCAACTTCACTTCATATCAGTAATAGACAGTCTCATGTGCTAACTCATGCATATGCTTACTCATTTTTTGTATCTGGAATATCCAACTATGGTTTTAGTTGGTGGAACGTGCTCTCTTGATTAATGCTCTGCTGCTACCTTTATTAAGGTTTAAATCCACTTTCTAAGCTATTGGATTGCTCTTGTTGCCCTTGTCATAGGAAGCTAATGCAAACTTGGATGAAGTGGTGGCCCTTGCTAGAGAGCTTCAAACTCAGGTAGTTTGACATGAATGAACCATTTAATTTTTTTAAATTTCTCATACGCCAGTTTCAAACAGGAACTCTTGTCTTGCAACTTGTGCCAAAGCTTATATCATTACATAATTCTTGTAATTACGGTTTGCCATTTCAATTGTATAATGATATGAAATGTTTGGGAGCTAGAGGAATGCAGAAATTTAAGATTTGTTTAGTCAAATGTGGTTTTAATATGCTGATAGCACAAGTTTTTTCCTTTCCAGTGTGTTACTATGTAATGGAATGAAAAAATTATAGGGGTTTATAATTATATCATGTGCCATTGTGCTATGTCATAAAGTTGGTAAAGAAGGAAAGTATGTTATGACTTGGGACATTCAAATGTAAACTGTTCCCCCTCCCCTCCTTTGTGCATCCGGTGCATCAAGTATTGTTTGTGTTTTGAATTCCTGTATAAGCTAATTAAGTATACACCTTTTGCCCAGACAATAGGTCGAATTTATTTATTTTATTATTTTTATGGCTTGGGGAAACAACCCATAATGCATACAAAAATTTGTTATTTCACCATATAGGGTAAAAAGAGCGTTTTATGGGGAACAGCTCAGTTGTTCATGCATCCTCGCTATATGCATGGTGCTGCTACTAGGTAATTTATGTACAATTGCCACCTGTCTTGTCTATATGGTCCTTACGCCTATTGGGTTCGTGGCTAACCAAATGAATTGCTTTACAGCTCTGAATTGGGGGTATATGCATATGCTGCTGCCCAAGTGAAGAAAGCCATGGAGGTACATTTGTTTGTATGCACGTAGTAGTTAGAAGATCCATTGTATTTTTAGAACCATTGTGCATTTTACTGATTTAAATATATTGCAGGTGACACATTATTTGGGGGGAGAAAATTATGTTTTCTGGGGCGGCCGTGAGGGTTATCAATCTCTTTTGAACACAGATATGGAACGAGAGCTTAATCATTTCGTGCGTGAATCATTCTATCCTTGGAGTTATAGTCTGGCTATGCTGCCTTCTTATTTTCTTGTATAAGTAAACAATTTTTAGGAAATCTCCTTGAAAATAAAGAAATAACAGTCTCAAATCTTAATGTGAATGCTACCACAACAATCAAGTTTCAAATATCATGAATAGAAACCAAGCCTTATTAGCTGCACAAGATGCTTAATATCATGAATAGAATGAATTTTTCTGTCCCTTCATAGTGGGTCACATGAATTTTACGGAATCCATTGCCTTCACCAAAAAATTCAAATGGTTTTGTCCTCGAATTTGCGGTGTTATTATCTTTTCTTAATCAGTACTGTTTATTTACCTGGTTACAGGCTAGGTTTTTTGAAGCTGCTGTTGCATACAAAAGGAAGATTGGATTCAATGGTAAGATTCTCTGGAACGCCAACCAGCTGGACCATTTTATAGCACTAAATTATGAAACATAAGAAGAATAGAGCACAACTAATCATTTTAATAGCTAGACGATTGGAAGTTTATAACCACGGTTTTTTTATCTCTCTATGTTACTACACCAAAATTTGAAGGAAAAATGTTTTGCGGTTCTTTCTTTTTGTTTTTTCCTTGATAAAGGAATTTTTCTTATGCAATTTCTTTTCCTTATGTGATTTCAGGGACACTGTTAATTGAACCCAAGCCACAAGAACCTACAAAACACCAGTATACTTTTTGCCTATTCAGTCAATTATTTTACAGCACCTGTTACCCATTTTAAAAACTTATATTCCTCCAGGTATGATTGGGATGCTGCAACCACAGCTAATTTCTTGCGAAAATATGGACTTATAGGTAACATTTACTTGTCTTCAGCATCTAACTGTCTCCCCCAAAACCAAAATATGAGTGCAATGTCTTTCCGTAATGAAATTTTGTTGTTGTCAGACTGTGCTTAGTTAAGCTTTTGAACTGTACATAGCTCAGTTGCTTAAATAAAGAGCTGTTATGTTATTTATTTACCTTTTTCTGCTATAATCATTACCTTTGTTCTAAATGCTGATCTGTAAGTATTTTGTTGGTTTGTCCTCATTATAAAATTGTATTTTTTAATCCTCTTCTTTAGTTAGAAAATTTTCCTCCTTAAATTTAATGGCCAAATTGTCCCTACTTTGAATGAACTTAGCCGAAGCCAAACTAGCAAAACCAGGATGAGTCTCTTCATCGCTTGTATATACTTAAAATATTTCTCTAATTTCCTTCATTAAGAACTGTTTTATTCCACTTTACAAATTTCTCTCTTCCTCATTCCTTCTTCTGTAGGGGAATTCAAACTCAACATAGAGTGCAACCATGCCACCCTATCTGGCCACAGGTGAATCTATAATTGTATTTTGTGTTACATGGAATGTTCTTGATCATACTTCTTTTTAAAATTGATATTCATAACTGAAACTGGGAGTGTTCATTGTACCTTTAATTCCTTTCGTACATGGTAGTTGTCATCATGAGCTTGAAACTGCAAGGATCAATGGCTTGCTGGGTAATATTGATGCAAACACTGGTGATCCTCAAGTTGGTATGTGTTAAAATAAATAATGTATCTTTGAATATAAAAACATGAACTTTGTGTTGACATGTCACAAGATAGAAAGTTGTAATATGAAGCTGTTATCATTACTGCAGGTTGGGACACGGATCAGTTTCTTACAGATATTCAAGAGGCGACAATGATTATGCTCAGCGTGATCAGAAATGTATGAAAATGCTTGTCTCTTAGCTTGCATCATGAAATGCAACACTCCTCACATTAGAAATGCAATCTCATCTGACTGGGATCTTTTTGTCTTATCTTTTCCTTTTCAAGGGAGGAATTGCACCAGGTGGATTCAACTTTGATGCGAAATTGTGAGTCCTTTACTATCTTTCTGTACTCATAATTTTACTTGAGATACACTCTGATACAGTTATGATGGCACTTTCCTGTTTGTTCTTTTCTCAATTTCTTTGCTGAGCAATATTTTAGGCGGAGAGAGAGCACCGATGTTGAAGACTTGTTCATAGCACACATTATTGGAATGGATACGATGGCCCGTGGTCTCAGGAATGCTGCCAAGCTGATTGAGGTGATACACTCAATCCTCTCTTATATATAATATTCTTATGATTTACATGTAGAAAATGTTAAAGCTTCTTTTTAATATCTCCTGACAATCAAACTAAATGTTCCTCATTATGCTGGACCAAAGGATGGTACATTGGCTGAGCTTGTTCGTAAAAGATATCAGAGTTTTGACACCGAAATTGGGGCTCAAATAGAGGTAACATTCTTCCAATATTTTGTTTTTTTTTTGTTTTTTCTCTATATTTAATGCCTTTTGTGATTAATCTTATTGGAATGGATGTTGTAATAGGCTGGTAGAGCTGACTTTGAAATGCTTGAGAAGAAGGTCAAGGAATGGGGAGAACCAAAGGTTGCTTCTGCAAAACAGGTAACTCTAAATTTTCTGTAATAATGAGGGGAAGCATTATATTGTTTCACCTTCCCAATGTACAAAGAACAAATGTAGGTTTGATTGTTCAGCTTGAAGAAACCCCATATCTGTAGCAAACCTCAGGATCCAAACACCCGAATTATTATGAAAGACACCCTCCAACCAGCTCTACCTGCCAAACCTAGAACACATCAACATCGCACTTTAAAATATCATCCTTTAGACACCTTCAAGCAATTAACTGTTCTCTTCTTGGAATAAAACCAATAAGGTTTTAATATCATCTCAGTTATTAAGGAGCTTTTGAGGAAACAATGCTCGTTTGATGTAAGACACGTTTTACTTGAGGCTAACTGGACTGCAATTTGGAAAATGCATTTCACTCTCTGCAGTTTACATAAGAACATAATGAAAGAGATGAAAAGTTTTATTTTATTTTATTTTCAGATTTGTTACTTGTGTTATCCTTTTTAAGTTTGGACATATGTCGTTTTATATTCATGAAAACGATGCAGTTTGGACTAATCAAGTTGTTCTTGTTTAATTTATTATATTTCTGTTCCTGTTAACCTTTTAGTCCACTTGCAGTATTTACGTATACACAACTTACTATGAATGTTTCACATAGATTCTAATAAAGGTCTTTGTGGTATGTTGCAGGAGTTAGCCGAGATGATCTTCCAATCTGTTATGTAGAAAGCAGCATCTAGTTTGTGTACGGGGGCTATTTTTCTTGTCGTTTTTCTTAGAACAGATAGGCATAGTAGGTTTACTAATAAAGAGAAATTGAGCCAATATCTATTGGGTTGCTCAGTTCATGCGGAAGCCTGGTGAAGTGCATGTTAGCTGTAATAAAATAACGTGACGCATAGCTTCCCTTGCCACCAGAAAGAACCTTGAGCATGTCAGAGTTAAATAGTTGATTTCACTTTCTTTTATATACTCCCTATTTTCACTTTCTTAACAGTGTGTAGATAGCGGGAGAGGATCTTTTCATGTGATTTCACATGTCGGGTCATGTGAAAAGTTCTTAATGTTAGATATACAAATCAACAATGATAAGATTGGAAAGAAAAAAAAAAAAATTGGAATTCAAGGCGAGGTTAATAATCTTATATGAGGTCATGTAAAATCACATGAGGATTTATTTTTGCTGATAATGAAGTAAGTCCAAAAGATTGTACAAGAAATAACTTGGTTCATCTACGTTACACAGGCAGAAAAGGTGATATATCTTTAAGAAATTTTTCATAGTTTTGTGAAATAGAATCATACTTGGTAATTTCAATCTGAAGCATATAGATGCAACCATGGAATGGGTATTTATTTTAAGCGATGATGCCGGTACGTTATTCTTTTGGTAACAGACATTTTTATGCATAGTCTACAATTCTCGGAATGAAATCAATAATCAATTCGTCTTTGATAATCCAATATGCAGAGTTCTGCAGAGAAATTGGAGTTTTTTTAAACAAAAAGGGGTTGTGTGGTCTTTGTTGCTCATTGAACTTGCTTTGGCTCAGTAGCAAATAACAGAAAAATAAGGAGACGAAAATATGACTTTAAATTTCTTAAAAACTTTGTTGTACAATTTTCTCTGTAGGAAGAAAAATGTGGGAAACTGCCCCCTTGTTTTCCCCTTAATGAAGATTTTGTAAACATTTTTTTGCCCCTACTTCCCCTCCTTTTTCAAACACAACGAAGAGCAAAATTTTTACCATCTGAAGTCCAAATTAAATTATTAATTGGTCAACACTCAACACTATATAAATAAATAATTCGTCAATGATTACCAAAAATAAAATAAAATAATTGGTCAATGGATCGAAGTAAAAAGGAAAATATCGGAAGTGAAACGAAAAGGCCCAGGCCCAAAATTAATGGTACCTGGCGAAATGCACGAATAACAGTAGAATAGAAAAGCTGGTTGTATCAGGTGCGAGATCCCAAAACCGAAAGGTGGAGGGCGAGGGAATCGTCATCTTCGTAATCGTAGTTCCCTCTTTTTCAGTTTTCGATTTGGTTCTCTCAGAAAAGCTCATAGAACCTAACTTGTCCTTCTTTCTTCTCTGATTCTCAAATTCATCATCGTAGTTCCTTCTTTCTTCCATTATCGATACAGATTAGATTCAAAGTGACATTCACTTCTCCTCCTCGTCAGGTTCAGGGTTTTTGATTCGAGATCTGATCCGGTTTTCAATTTTTTTGGTCCAAAAGCAAACTCAGGAAATATCATTTGGAACTGATTGATGCGCTAATTGTAATTGTACTGTGGTCGTCCCTCTGCCCGAATCGGAAGATGGGATTAGTATTTACGAGATTGTTTTCCTCCATTTTCGGCAACAAAGAAGCTCGAATCCTCGTTCTCGGCCTCGACAATGCTGGGAAAACCACTATTCTCTGTATGCTTCCTACTTCTATGCTTTACCCTCATTCAATTTGCCCTTTTTGTATTAATTTGTTGGATTTTTTTTTACCTTCCTTTTCAGATCGGCTTCAGATGGGTGAAGTTGTCTCCACCATTCCAAGTTGGTCCTCGATCTCGTTTTACATTTAGCTGAATCTTAACACCTGCATTTTCTTTAATTTTTAGTTCGTTTGGCTGCTAAACCCTTTTGATTTTGGAAGTTACCGGGCGATTTGATTTTGAATTTTGGGTTCCATTGCGCTCTGGTTAAATTTTATGAACTCATTTAGATTTATAATTTAATTTAATTAATTGTATTATGTAAAGTTATGAATACTGTCCCGCATTTTCCTTGGTAAAAAATGTAGAATTTTTTTGAATCCTTTGTGTTATTTTTTCTCTATATGCATGTCTGCATGTTGCTTTTAAGTTTTTCCACTGCATGGATGGTATTTAGGCTCTTCCATATATCCTTTTGTGTAGTGACTAGAGTGACTAATTTATTTTATTATTTGATTATTTGATGTAGCGATCGGCTTTAATGTTGAAACAGTCCAATATAACAACATTAAATTTCAAGTCTGGGATTTAGGTAAGCCTTGATTCAGACAAATTTTGTATATTTCATGTACTTGTTATGGCATATGTTTTCTCTGCTCGTTGTAATGTACTAAACAGATTTGAAACCAACAAGATAGTCATAGAGATGACCATGTTATTATTACGAACTTGACATCCTGTGATCAGAATTTAGTACATGGTAACCTACACATCTTCATGACTGGTGAACAAAACAAAGAGTCTGATGTCACGCACTGTTAAATTTTGTATGTGTCTCTCAATAACACACTCAGGGGTCTCTGCCTAGAGTTAGGGGTGAAAGTGAGACAAGCCAGGCCTAGCTCAGTCTTGGCTTGATAAGAATAAGCCGGGCTTGGGCTCAGCTCGGCTCGTTAAGAAAGTAAGTTTTTCTTCTTTGCTCAAGCTTTGATCACTCTTAGCTCACAAGTTGCTCAAGCTCGATGAACAAGGCTCATATCTTATGCTCAATAAATTCTAATTAAAGAGTGTTTAATAATATAAAAATTAAAATCTAATACATATATATATATATATATATATATATATTTTAAACATATATTAAATGAAAAACATTATATATAGAGCCAGTTCATGAGCTAATGAGCCAGTTATATGAAATCTCAAGTTCAGCTCATCAGCTCGAGAACCTAGCTTACTAAGTTATTAAGTTGTCAATAAATTAGGCCATGAATAGATTGCGAGTTTATTCGACTTCCTTACAGCCCTATCTAGAGGACTATTCATCTACAATGCTACGTTCTTCTGTGATTCTATCTCATGTTAAATACAAGCATACATGGGTCCCATTCTTCTGTTGGTTTTTTAATTTTGGTGAACTCTATAAAAATATAAAAAAACATGTTGAATACAAAGACAATAACATAATTTTTCCCGTTTCATGTTGTTTCCTTTGATACATACGTACTTTATATGTTTTGAAAAAAATAAACACCTTTACTCAATGATAAAATTTAGACTTCTAAACCTTAAATATAGTTTATTGTTTACAATCATGTGAACTTATAATTGGTTGAGACTTACAATGTTGTAAGATAGGATGGCTTATTTCAATTTCTAATTCTGACATCAAACATTTATTTATACAGGTGGGCAAACAAGTATCAGGTAAGCTTTTTGGATTCATTCTTGCTTCCTTCTACTAATGGAAGAACTTGAAGATTAAAGAATAATTGTATATTGAATAATCATAGTGTGTTACAATGTACAAGAGCTCTCTATTTAAAGAGACTAAAAGACCTATTGGGCTGAGCTCATAAGATGTGGGACTATATATACTAAACTATTCTAACACTCCCCCTTAAGCTGGAGCATATATATTGTAAGCACCCAGCTTGCCACAAATATATTCAACCCGAGGACTCCTAAGAGCTTTAGTGAAGACATCCGCGAGTTGATCATTGGAGTTGACAAATTCTGTTTTGATTTCTCCTGACTGAATCTTTTCTCGAATGAAATGACAATCAATCTTTATATGTTTGGTTCTCTCATGAAATACAGGATTAGAGGATATATGTAGTGCAGCTTGATTGTCACAAATGAGAGTCATGGGTTTCTTCTGTTCACAAAGATGGAGCTCCCGAATCAACTGCTTTAACCAGATTAGCTCGCAGGTAGCAACTCCCATTGCACGATACTCGGCCTCTGCACTAGATTGGGCAACAACAGTTTGTTTCTTACTTTTCCAAGAAATCAGGTTTCCTCCAAAGAAAACACAATAGCCTGAAGTAGAGCGCCTATCCGAGGGTGATCCTGCTCAATCGGCATCTGAATAACCACAAATTTATGTATTTCCCTGATTTGAATATAATAAACCTTTCCCTAGTGCTCCTTTGATGTAACGAAGGATCCTAACAGCAGCATCCCAATGAGAATCACACGGAGAATCAAGAAACTGACTAGCGACACTAACAACAAAAGAAATGTCCGGCCTAGTCACAGTGAGATAATTGAGCTTTCCAATCAACCTCCGATAACGTCCAGGATCAGATAATGGTTCTCCTTGTCCGGGTAGTAATTTGATAATAGGATCCATGGGTGTGTCAACTGGCTTAAATGCCGACATACCAGTCTCTTCTAGGATATCCAAGGCATACTTCCTTTGACAGATAGAAATGCCCTGTCTAGATTGTGCTACCTCAATTCCCTAGAGGTAACGTAGCTTCTCGAGGTCCTTTGTTTGAAATTGACTGAATAAATACTGTTTTAACTGACGAATTCCAGCTTGATCACTCTCGGTGAGGATGATGTCCTCAATATAGACTAACAAATAGATGCACTTATCAGGAGATGTGATCCTATAAAACACAGAGTGGTCAACTTTACTGCGAATTAAGCCAAACTCCTGAACAGCAGAACTGAAGCGACTGAACCATGCCCGAGGAGACTGCTTGAGACCATATAAGGATTTGCGAAGACGACACACCTTCCCAGACTCCCCCTGAGCAACAAAACCAGGTGGTTGCTCCATATAAACTTCTTTTTGTAAATCACCATGAAGAAAGGCATTTTTGATGTCAAGTTGAAGGAGTGGCCAGTGACGAACAACAGCAAGAGCAAGAAATAGGCGAACTGACGCCATTTTAGCGACCGGAGAGAATGTATCGCTATAATTAAGGCCGAATATTTGAGTAAAACCCTTTGCAACTAGGCGGGCCTTGAGTCGATCAACATGGCCATCAGGTCCAACTTTCACAGTAAACACCCTGCGACAACCAACTATAGACTTCTCTGGAGGAGCAGAAACAAGGTCCCCAAGTGCCATTGGAATGAAGTGCAGTCATCTCATCAAGCATCGCTTGGCGCCACCCTGGATGGGAAAGTGCTTCACCTGTGGTCTTAGGAATAGAAATAGAAGAAAGACTAGAAACAAAGGTGAAATGAGATGAAGAAAGACGGTCATAGCTCAAAAAAGTATAAAGAGGATAAGGGTTACGAGTAGTACGTGTACCTTTTCTTTGAGCAATGGGAAGAGCCTCTGGTGAAGGATCCAGAGGGGAAGAAGCAACAACAGTGGGCGATGAGTCAGCAAGAGTCGAGTCGACAGGAGGCACAATTTTGCGACGCTGATAAGTGAGAAGTAGACGGTCCTCAGGTATAGAAGCAATAGGTTGCTCATTTGGAATAGAAGCACATGCAGCTGGCAAAGACAAGTCAAGAAAAGGGACAGGAAGAACATGATCAACCTGTGACAACTGAGATGGGATAGAATTAAAGGGTTCTTGATCAAGAAAAGTGACATAAGCGAAAACTAAGTAACACTTAAGATCGGGAGAATAACAACGATAACCCTTTTGAAGACGAGAATAACCAAGAAAGATACACTGAAAGGCTTTGGATGTTAACTTATCCTTACCAGAAGTGAGATCACGAATAAAACAAGTACAACCAAAGACATGTGGAGTTAGAGGATAAATAGGAGCATCTGGAAGCAATAGATTATGACGAATGTCATTGTTGAGCACAGATGAAGGCATGCGATTGATGAGAAAACAAGAAATGAGTACAGCATCTACCCAGAAGTGAAGGGGAACCTGAATATGAATAAGAAGGGTACGAGCAGTTTCAATGAGATGTCTGTTTTTACGTTCAGCCACCCCATTTTGTTGTGGAGTATGAGGACAAGTAGTTTGATGTAAAGTACCTTGTGTGGCCAAAAAATTAGAAAAATCAATAGAAACATATTCCTTAGCATTATCACTACGTAGAATACGAATAGAAACACCAAATTGAGTATGAATCTCTGTAGAAAACTTTTTATAAATGGAAAATAACTCAGAACGATTTTTCATTAAATAGATCCAAGTGCAACGGGAAAAATCATCAATAAAGGTAACGAAATACAGAAAACCTAAAACAGACAAGGTACGACTTGGACCTCAGATATCTGAATGAACAAGAAAAAAAGGGGCATCAACTCGTTTATTGACTCGACTGGCAAAAGAGGAGCGTGTATGCTTCCCTTGTTGATATGACACACAATCTAAAGACTGAAGACCGGATAAAAGAGGAACCATTTTCTGCAGCTTTGAAAGACTTGGATGACCGAGGCGACTGTGGATAAGTTGTGGAGATTCTGTGAGAGAGCATGCCACTGAAGGACGAGGCACATCCAGATAGTAAAGCCCCCGTGACTCACGACCCACTCCAATCATTTTTCCCGTACTCGGATCCTGCACAGAAACAGAATGGTTAGAGAAAGTAATGGTGCAAGTGAAGGAGTGGATCAATTTACTAATAGAAATTAAGTTATAAGGGATGCTAGGAATGTAATAAACAGATGTCAAGGCCAAGGTAGAGGTCGGACGAGCTTGTCCAATCCCACGAACTGGGGCTTTGGTTCCATCCGCAAGGGTAAAAGAAGGTAAATGATCAGAATAAGTAAGAGATGTAAAGAGTTCCTTATTACCACAGAGATGATCGGTAGCACCTGAGTCAAATATCCAAGTGCCAAGTGATGTAGAATGAGAAATACAAGCAATGGGATTACCAGTATATGGCTGAGACTGAGGAGAAGTCTTCCTGAGAAGAGTTTGGAGTGCAGCATAGTCCGCAGGTGAGAGAGAACCTGAACCAAATGATGCATTGTCTGACTGAGCTATATTTGCAACAAGAGAGGTGTCCCAATCTTTGTAGTTGTCTGAATCCTTCAGTTTGGAAGACGTAATGGGCCCCCCAATCCTTTGCTTGCTGTGCAGTGACAGTACCAATATCCACTAATCGTTGTTTCCAGATACAGTTGCCGGTTGACATCTCTTCTAATTCGTCGATACGAGAAAACTAATAAGGGTTTTTTAATTACTTTTATTCGTATTTGCAACAGACTAACATAGATGAGAAGAATGATAAGACTCAATCTATAAGGTATCAATATAGAAGTCGAGATGATTCTTGAGGAAGTTTTGGCAGGAGGAGAAAGAGAGTTAACCTCCGAGAGATCAGGAGATGCTGCTGCCATTTAAAGACAAAATATAAAAGACGTAAACGAAGGCAAACGATATCCAATCAAGGAGAACCACTCGTCTAAAGTGAGACCCACAAAGAATCAAGCACAGATCCAGAAAGAGGAGGAAAATCCGAGCTAGTTTGTCCAGGAACGACCGGAAAAAGACGCCGGAACAGTGCACACGCGCCGGTGAAGGGTGGCGCGTGAGCACCACGCGCAGGGAGAAGGAGCGGCGCGTGAGAGCGCGTGGGGACTCCTCTGATGACGGGTCTTCCACAGACTTGGTCGCCGGAGAGAAAGGGCTCTGAACGCAGGCTTTCCGGTTGAAATCAACGCCGGAACAGTGCTCCGGTGGCCTGAACAGTGACGAACGACAGTTGTTGGCGGCGAGCAGTGTTTCTGACAGTTGAAGAAACAAGCCGGAGAGACACATGGCTTAGAGAATCTGCCGGAGGGACACACGGCTTGATGAAAAACTCGCCGGAAGAATGCACGACAAAGTAGAAGAGAACACCTAAGCAGTGGGCTTAGGGTTTTAGTGGAAGCGGATCCCCAGAGCGAAAAAGCTCTGATACCAACTTAAGATTAAAGAATAATTGTATATTGAATAATCATAGTGTGTTACAATGTACAAGAGCTCTCTATTTAAAGAGACTAAAAGACCTAATGGGCTGAGCTCATAAGATGTGGGAATATATATACTGAACTATTCTTACAACTATTCTAACAGAAGATGTATAATCTTTTATAATATTTACTTTTAACAGAGAATAGTGGGTGACTTTTGATGTATTACAACAATGTCGCACTAATTTGTATTTTTTAATCACTCCTAATTGATTTGAGGATGTTCTACAATCATCGTTGGCTCGCATGTGAAGAAATTTTGTGCTACAGTTGTGACATGACTACTAGACTCTTCATTCACGTCCATTTTTTGACCGAGTCCTTTATCTCTCCCACATTGCTGTTTATATATATAAGAAGCTGATATAAAACCCTAAATACATGAGTGTGTGTGACACCATATTGCAAGATATGGTAGGCTACGAGGACATTTGTTGATTATATATATGACCAGGAGCTGGGCACGTGCTTTGATATTGTCTACCAATCCTATAACTTTGAAACTATGGTAGCAGCACATTGTGGAAAGAAATCTAATATTAAGACAAAACATCAAGTAACCATGCTTTGTGGATGCAAACACGAATTTCTCTTATATTCTCATATTACTTTATCTATAGGGCTAAATTCAGTTTCACCATTGTAGTTTGGCTCAGTTTCAATCTGCCACCTTGAGATTTGAACTTTTCACTTTGCCTTTAAGGATTTCTTTGTTATTATATGACCATCCTATACTTTTTTTCTGTCCATTTTAACTGAAACTGCATGTGATAAGCATGTAAAGCACAAAACTATATTGTTTCAAGGAGTTTCAATGCCCAAAAAAGGCCTCGTTTTGTGCATACATTGCTTCTCATCCATCTTATCCCTTAAACATGGTCTGAAAAAAAAGTATATGGTGGTAATGTGATAACATAACAATCCAACATGGCATATTGAGACCAAGTGGGCCAAACTACAAGGTGGGATATTAAATTTAACCCTAATTTATATGTAGTCTCCATTGATCTCCCCAACTTTTTTGTGGTTTATTTTTTTCTTTTTGTCCATAGGCCATATTGGAGGTGTTACTTTCCAAATACCCAAGCAATAATCTATGTTGTTGATTCAAGTGACACTGATAGGCTTGTAATAGCTAAGGAAGAGTTCCATGCAATTCTGGAGGTATATGTTCCTAACACACACACACACAAAAAAAAAAAATATTTAGAGTTTATAAAATATAATTCTTGCTATCATGGTCTTGTGAATAATTGGAACGAGAAAAGCATGGATGTGAACTTGTCACTTCTAAAAACACACACACACACACACACACAAATATTTAGAGTTTATAAAATATAATTCTTGCTATCATGGTCTTGTGAATAATTGGAACGAGAAAAGCATGGATGTGAACTTGTCACTTCTAAAAACTTGAGGCTTGCAGGAAGCGTAAAAATTGCTGACATTACAAGTCATTCAGAGCACTGATCTAAGTACTCAATTTGGTTAAATTCTCAAAATTCTCTTGTGCTTACGATAGGCCACTATCTTGGGAGAGTGGTGGCTCTAAGTTGTATTTCTAAAGTATTTTAGTTTTGTGAAGGTTTAGCGATTGATAAAAGGATGAAATAGAGGAATGCTTTAAGTGATAATTGTCATATAAAGATGCCTCTTAAGCTAATGGAAATTTTATTGCATAGCCATAAGACCTGCGATGCTTTATGGTATTGAATGTTGAGCAATAAAGTGTCAACAAGATCATAGAATAAACGTTGAAGAGATGAGAATGTTGCGTTGGTTCATGTATGAGTGGTCATACAGGAAAATATAAGATCGTGAATGAATGTATTGAAGAGAAAGTAGGAGTGACACGTATTGGGAAAAGGATGGTAGAATCGCGCCTATGATGGTTTGGACATGTGAAAAGAAGACTAATAGAAGCTCCTATTAGAAGAGTTGATCGGATGGAGGATAGTTCAGTAAATAGAGGAAGAGGAAGACCAAGAAAAACTTAGCGAAACCATTAAAAAGGATTTAAATCTAAATGGCCTCTTTGAAGAATTGGTTTTTTGACATAATACAGTGACATCATTTGATGCATGTAGCTGTCCCAGCTAGTTGGAAAGGTTTTGGTTGTTTTTGTTGAAGGTTTAATAAATGCAATTGGGTTATGGAATTCTCATGAATTAGAAATTTGATACAACTATACACTCGCCAATTTTCAAGTTCATTTTTTAAGTTATTCTAAATTGATGTATTTGTTAAAGTGGATGCTAGTAGATTTATTTTCTAAAAAAAGTTTGTTATATTCTTTTTTGAATTTTATGTCCAATAGATTTGTGCTGTTTACTATTCACCTTTGGCTCTGGTTATATTGTTGCCTGTGATTATGATTTCAGGTTTATAAAAAATACTTAGTACTAAATATTTTCTCTGAACCGTTTTATCAGGAGGAAGAACTAAAAGGTGCAGTTGTCCTCATTTTTGCAAACAAACAGGTCAGAAATTGATATATATTCGTTAGTTTCTCATATTACCACAAGGGGGATAAGAAGGAAAGAATGAGTATGTAAAAAAGTTAGGAAGCTGATATTACTTGTAGAAGTCTTTGCTAACTGACATAATACAAAAGGATATATTCAATTTGTACATGAGTAATTATATGCATATGTACATTCATGATAAGGCAGTATACCTTCTGCATAAAACTGAATTTTTTTGAAATATTTATTTATTAATTTGGTTTTAAATGTTTCTCTTTCTACTACACAGGACCTTCCTGGTGCCCTTGATGACGCTGCTGTTACAGAGGCTCTGGAGTTACACAAGATTAAAAATCGTCAATGGGCTATTTTTAAAACTTCTGCCATAAAAGGCGAAGGATTATTTGAGGGCCTGGACTGGTAAGTCAAATAAAATTGAAGGCTTTTTCAAGCGAGTTACAAATTCAAAGATCCATAGCTTCCTAGCTTTGCTGCTTTATTGATTTTTTTTTTTTTTTTTTCATATCTTTGCTATATTTTCAGGATATTATTTCATTCTTATAGCTGTACTCCCCTTCCTTTTTCTCTTATTATTATTTTCTTCTGTCAAAAACATGAAATTTAAAACAATTTATGGGGATATCTTCCATGATTATTGAAGGAACTGCATCGGTCTAGACTCTAGGTATGCTTTCTAATAGGTGAATTCTCAATGTCGAATTCTAGCATGGAATGGTTGCCTGGTGACATGCATCATTTGACCTGAATGAAGATATTGTAATAATTAGTTTATACAATAATTAGTTTATGTGAAATATAATAGTTATAGGTTTGCTATAGACAATCTTGTTGAATATGGCTAACTCGGCATGTGTTCTTTTGAAAATGTGAAGGCAAGTTTACCTGGGTATAGAAAGTATGGCTCGGATTTTTGCTTTTGCTTGTGCTGTTATTCATGTGTCTTAAGAGTTATAATATATCGTTTATATTTGCAAATGTTGATTATACTTTTTGAGATGTTTATGGTTACACTGCTTCAAGCCGCAATTCTAGCTTCAATGCCATTTTGTTGCACACCGTGGCTGTTATCTTGCGCAATGTTAATGTGTGAGCTTGTTATGTAGGTTGAGCAATACACTCAAATCTGGAGGTGGCTAAAGATGTGAGCTTCAACGTATTAGATACTTATATGGATTGGTGAATTCAGATGCAAGGTTGACATATGTAATATTCAATCCTTATATTTTATTCCGTTTTTTGTTTAAAGATTAAAAATTAAAGGTTTATCATTGGTTGCCTTTTGTAGTGAATTTTTTCTGGGGTCCTTTTTGTATTTTTTGGAAGTCCGTTTCTTAATTCCTCTATGTAGTAGTAGCTTCTAAAGAAAATTTTCTCGTCTAATCTGTTTATGTAATTGAGCAACATTGGTTTACATGTGAGTTGTGTGCTTAACGTAACCATGAAGTAGTTTTGTCAATGACATATAGCGGCTGATGATGGGAAGTATTGAAGCCTCTATGATGAGTTGGTGACGGCGGGACAGCCTTATTGTGAATGGGAACTAAAGTGGCAATTTTTGAATTGATTTAGAATGTATTAAAAAAATAAATAGAATCGGAATTGATTTGTCGTCATGAAAAATCATCACTAATCAAATGTCTTAACTAAAACAGAAATACTCAAAAAAGAAGGGAAACAAGAAAGGATATCTAGTAGTTTAAAAAGAAGCAGAGGAGATTGACCAGTGATTTGAGATATACTTAAAGATGATTTCTTGAGGTTCTGTTGATACAAGAAATGAGTCAATAATGATGTCTCCGCCAAAGCCCTGGGATGTGTTTTTGTAGTTAATTTCATTTATCAATATTCTTTGAGTTTTTTTTTTTTTTTTACTTTAGGTTGGGGTACTAGATTAATGGTTCACTGATTTAATCAGTGGGTTACCGGTTCTATTGTATAAATTAAATCTATAATAAATATTAAATTAGAAATATCTTAAATAATAATTTGAGTTGGTTTAATGTATGTGCTATGAGTTATAATTCACACGATAATCTCATTCGTGATATTTTTCAATTATTTTGTTCAAAATTTCACAAAATTAATTTAAAAAAAAAAAAGTATCAATTTAATATTAGTTGAATTCAGTTCACCGGTTTCATACTGAATCAATTGTATGATCTAATACCTAAATCAAACTGGTTGGAGATTCGGTTTATGGGTCAACCAATCGATTTCACCGGGTTGTTATTTTTATAACAATGGCAACACCTACTATTCATCAAGTCAAAAGTTCAAATCTTCAATATTTTAGTTTATCTTTTGCGTCATTGCATACACTAATTCAGTTTTTTCATCAACTTCATCTTTGAGCACCCCATAAAATGGAAAACTGTATGATGCTATATCTTGGCAAAAGAAAAACATAATACTAAATTAAACTTAGTTTATCATCACATATCACTTTACGGAAATTCTAGAAAAAATTGATTCAGGTTATTTCATTATTATGAAGTATAATTTCGATTTTCGAGGATACATTACGCGGGGAGCCTGGATAGAGACATTATTAGTTCTTGCCGCTGCGTTTTGAATTAGTCAGGAATAGACCAGTAAGCTAGGCAATTGATTTCTCGAAATCGGTAAATGTACATTATTGTGTAACACCATTCTTACACAGATTATCCACATACAAATAACTAGCGATCAATATTAACATGTAATATGTGATGATAAAACCTTTGCATATTTGCAAAAGATATTATTTTTCTCGTGATATTTCTATAAAAGAGAGTAGTTTTACAACTGCTCTAAGTTCATCTATTAATTGGTTATCAATATTGGTAATATATCAAGGGGAAAAAAGTATCATTTAAAAGGATATAAGTTGTGTTCTCTTAGGTAATTTACACAAAGTATGACCGGTCATATTTTGTGTAAATATGAAAAATTACTTTTTTTCTCTCCTCAGTCACATTGCTGATGTGTAAAATGAAAAAAAAAATTCAAATTTATATAAAATATGACCAGTCATACTTTATGTAAATCACTAAAAATACACAACTTATATCGTTTTGAATGACACACTAAACTCATTTAAAAATATCCTTGGTTACTGTCTAATACACGTTGATCATTTGTACATTGATCGCCTATGGAAAAATGGCACAAAGTGTGTGTGGAGCATTTACTCCTAGGCGGTCATTGTTCATTACGCTGACACTATTACCTTGTGTCAAACGTTTATGTGGCTGGCTGCTATATAAAATAATTTCTCCAATATATAATGTGTGTCATTTAAAAAGATATAAAATTAGAGAAAATTATTTCATCAGTCACCGGAGATAAAATTATCTTCAGTGAGTTCAAAGCGACATCATTTTGGGGTTATACGATTAAAAAATTATAACAATAAAGACTAATATAACCCTGTAATATATTATAATTACAAAAATACCTTGATTTCCGCCCAAACGTCGTTTTGAGTCACTAGAGATAACTTTATCTCCGGTGACTGGAGAAATCCTTTACCCATAAAATTATGTGTCAAACGTTTTAAAAGAAAAAAAGAGATAGATAAAGATGGAGAGAGCATGGACAAAAATAAATAATAAAAGTATAGATTCCACCTCTTTGTGAGAATGAAATGACATAAATCATGTCATTTAAGAGGACAAATATTTTTCCCTTATATAAATCTGATCTGTCGTTATCGTGGAAAACGATTCCCACCTTTATTTTTTTTGTCCACTTTTTCTTCTCATTTATCTATCTTTTTTCTGTCACTTAAAATATTTTGACCAACCTAATGCTTCTACCCCGACATTAGACAGGATTTGTTAGCCAATTTTGTAGTCGGACTCGAAACTATAATTTTGAAAATAAATAATTAAATGAATGAAAGAAAATAAAAGATTTAATATGGTTTCTTCTCTTCCCATTGCTCAGTATATAATTTAGAAGATGACTGATAGATTGGTTCCTCTTGAAATCAATACCAATAATGGAAAGAATCCAGCCATGGATGATGCGACAACATTTGTTTATTCCAAAGATTAGCATAAATCCGTGGTTTACCTTATGCAAAGAAATAAAAAAAAATGTCTGGTGGCGCCGAAGTTCAGAGTTTCACACTGCATAAGATTTTGCTCCTAAAATATTCCAGGAAATTTTCCATTTACGGGATAGTTTACATGCTATTCATGATAATTATATAATTTAGGTCTAAATTCTAAATAATATACAATTTCACTGAATTAAGTTCCTTACTAAAGAACGATTGAAAATACATTATGATGCTTGCAGACACTTAAATAAAAGAATATGTAAAGAATCAATTCAATTCAAAAGCAAGCTGTTGGGTGAGGCTACATTAATGATTTTATATATCTCAACACGCCCCCTCACGCGAAAGTCCAATGGGCTTGAAGGGTGGACAATGCACAGGGCCCACCTAACTGTGCTAAGAAACGCCACAAGAGAAAGTGGAGGGCGGCGAGGCTCTGATACCATGTAAAGAACCTTGGGATACACCACCCCAAAAGCTAGCTCAAAGGGTGAGAGTGCTCAAGACCTTATAAACTCTACATTAGTCGCACATACAACCAATGTGGGACTATATATCTCAACACCCCCTCACACGAGAGCCCATTGGGCTTGAAGAGTGGACAGTGCAACAGGCCCAGCCTAACTGTGCTAAGAAACGCCACAAGAGAAAGTAGGGGGCGGCGAGGCTCTGATACCATGTAAAGAACCAATTCAACCCAAAAGCTTAAGTTGTTAGGTGATGCTACATTAATGGTTTTATATATCTCAACACGCTCCCTCACATGAGAGCCCACTAGGCTTGAAGGGTGGACAATGTACAGGCCCAGGCGAAGAAAGAAATTCCACTAGAAAGAAAGTGGGGGGCGATGAGGATCGAACCCGGGACACGAGGCTCTGATATCATGTAAAGAACCAATTCAACCCAAAAGCTTAAGTTGTTGGGTGAGGCTACATTAATGGCTTTATATAGGGGTGTTCGCGGTCTGGATTGGATCGGTTTTGGAAGCAAAAATCATCCGATCCAATCCCTTCGGTTTGATCATATAATCATCCATTCGGTTTTGATTTTTTTTCAAATCCGATCCGTTCCAATCCAATTTTTTTCGGTTTGGATTGGAACGGTTTTCGGTTTTTTGAAAATCTTAAAATTTATTTCATGATTATTGTGCAAATAACATCTTTTATATACATTGGCTTTGTAATTTTTTTTTTTTGAAATACAAAAGCATTGGTAAACTATAATATAATTTTTTTAATTTTGGCAATGAGATATGAAGCTCTACAAAGATAAAATTTTGTTGATGGGACATGACTAGATTTTTTCTTGGGTTTAGTTGATGGGTTAATGGGTTTTGAGTTTAGAAATTTTTAGGCAATGATTAGGGAAATACCCAAGTAGATAAAGGAAAATTAATATATTGGATCGGTTTTCATCAACCCATCCAAAAAATGATCCAATCCAATTAAAATTTGCGGTTTTTAATCGGTTTTCGGTTTTTCGGTTCGGTCACCGCGGTTTGAATCGGTTTGGATCGGTTGATGAATACCCCTAGTTTTATATATCTCAACACGCCCCCTCATACGAAAGCCCACTAAGCTTGAAGAGTGGACAATGCAACAGGACCAGCCTACCTGTGCTAATAAACGCCACAAGAGAAAGTGGGGGCGGCGAGGCTCTGATACCATATAAAAAACCAATTTAACCCAAAAGCTTAAGCTGTTAGGTGATACTATATTAATAATTTTATATATCTAACAGAATAAAAGACAAGTGGCGTGGAAAAGGATAAACTTCCAATATTATAACATAAATCTTTAATACAAACTAATACTAATTGAGCAACAACTTTATTGATAAACTTTTACTTACTTTATAAATTTTAATCACTTTTATAATATAAAAATAATGACAGTTAATTAGGTGAGTTAGTTCATGTAATCCATTTCAATTGAACAAGAATGAGATGTTGTTATTGTTTACAGTAAGAAGAGTTAATAATAATGTTTTGCAAAATAAATTTTTATATATGGGTTTAATAAGAGTTATGTTGTAGGAAAAGTGATTGTGTTATGTTATAGAGATTCGTTTTGCGTGCCAAAGTTTTTTTTTTTGGTTTCAAAAATTGTGGGTCCCACAAAATGTTGTGTGTGTAGGAAAGTTGTTGTGGTCATGTTAAATTATAGATACAAAACCCTTTATATATATATGGGTTTTGTTTTTATCCTTTCTCATGAGAAAAGGAATTTTTCTATACACACATGTTTAAGGTAGGTCCCATCATTAAAAAATTAAAATTAAAATAAAAAACAAAACACACATATCGATGTATGAGTGACATGAGAAATACTTTCTCCAACAATATAAGAAAGTATTACTATATATATATATATATATATATATATATA